GCTTTATGCTGGGGCAGTTGCAGTTGTGTTTGAAGGGTTGTTTCAAGGCAGCGGAAGGGACGATCTTCAAATAGTCATGCATTGACTGCATTCCTGCCTTGCATTGTCTGGATAACTTCCATTGTGTATGGGCAGCTGTTGTAGGGTATTGCGCAGGGACCATCAATGGGCTTTAGATGGTGCAACAGGGTTTACTGCTTAGGGGTGCAACCAACGGCGATCCACTACAGCTATTGAGGGAAGCACCACTTGCCAGTGGAAAGGTCTGAATGGCTGCATGAAACATACCATCCATAGCAATAGTACCCAATGGAACGAAAGTTGACTGGGTATTCTACATATAGTATAACAAAGTTAGTATTCTTGTTGTTAGATGCTTGGCAACTAGAAAATCTCCAATTTAAAGAAGCTGGATGGTTGGTGTTGCCGTGCAATGTCACAATTGCATATCTGCTTGATCTTTGATTACATCATGCTGGCTTGGATGGCTGCCAGGTTGTCGACTCTGCCAAGCTGGCATCAGGACAAGTCCATGAGTACTGCGTCAAAGCCACTGGTGGGCCCATCAGGTTCACCCTTGTGTGGACTGACCCGCCGGCCTCACCATCTTCTGCTGTCGCCTTGGTCAATGATCTGGACCTGTCTGTCCGAGCTGCGGGCCTGGAGGGCGAGGTGCTCCTAGGGAATGGCGTTGAAGACAGGGCAAACAACGTGGAGCAGGTGTGCGCGAAAGTGAATGCATCCTGAAATGAAAGAACAAAATCTAGTACCGTAGATCACAGAGGATAGTGCGCCCCCCCCCCCCGTTGCACATCAGGGCTGATGTCAGGAATGCGGGGGCCGCTATCTTGCGTACCACCACGCTATCTTCTGTGGCCCCCGTGTTCCGCATCAGGTCGCTGACTCAGTAGCGCCTCCCGCGTTTATTGGGACATCGCACTGCACCAGAGACGGCCTGGAGATCCCGATGACCTTGGTTTGAGCGATGGTAGTATGGACCTAGACACTGAGATTGTTGAGGACATGGTGTTGGATTGAAGGAGGAATGTCATGGCAATGTTTAGTTGGAGTGAACTTGGTAACATTGGTGTGCTAACATATGCAATGACTTGTAAGAATGTGTGAAAATGCTTTTGCATTGTGGTCGCACGTTATGTTGAAGTGAATAGTTCCCCCCGCGCTATCTTGCGTAACCCCTGCGCTCCGCAACACAGGCCATGTTTGATAACGCCGGGGGTGCTATCTAAAGGCCCCCGCACTATTCAACACTTCCCGCGCTATCCTCTGTGGTCTACGGTACAAGGTTTGCCTCTCCCAATGTGGTACCACGACGAGGTAATGTCGCTCGTTGCCTCAGGTCCAGACACTCACGCAGAATGTCCCTCATGCTAGGCTGCTCGCCTAATCAATCATCTCAGGTGTGAGTGTGTATGTGCACACACCATTGGTTACCCTTTGCAGGGCAGAACAATGTGCTTCAGCCTCTTGAGATTATTTGTTCATTTGTTGCTGTGTTCTCTACCTGTTCGCACTGTGTACACATGGTGGGTGAAAGAAACGCAGTGAAATGGCTATTCCATGTTGGGAAGGCGGGAAAGCATGCTTTCATTGAAATAAAACGATGTGGTGCAGGTCTGGATAGATAACCTCCCAGAGGGCAACGTGGCGATTATGGTGAAGGGCCACAATGTGCCTATCGAATCGCCCCAACCTTATGCGCTGGTCGTGCATGGGAAGTTTACAGGGATTCTACAGAGCCCTAACAACCCAGCTGTTGAGACAGATGTTACAGGGGGTGCCTGCGTGATTGTGGTGGCAATCATAACAGAGGGGCCTCAAGGGCCAACAGCTGATTCAACAACCAGATTTGAATTTTCGACAGAATCTGGTTCACCAGCTTTGAATGGCTTCGAGTGCCAGCTGATTCAGCCAGGCAACCTGGCACGCATTGATGCCTTGCACGATTGGGAGCCCTGCACGAGTGGGAGGACATATACCGATCTGCCAGATATGCCGTACAAATTTTCTGTCCGGCCTGCTGGAGAGGACATTGTGGCGACCAGAGACTTTGTGGTGGACACCACGCCTCCCATCACTCAGATCCTTGGGGACCCTGTTGGTTCACAGCCCTCCCAGGAGAGTGTGGCTTTTGTGTTTTTCACCAGAGATGCGACTGCTGTGCAGTTCTCCTGCAGGCTGAATGTTGATGGTCCAGGGCAGCACACTCTGTGGAGGCAAGATGGTGGAGATGTCATCCTAGGGGAGTGGGTGCCATGCATCAGCCCCCAGAGGTACAACGGACTGTCCTTCGGCCAATGGTCCTTTGAGGTGATGGGAACAGGTAAATTCGAAGAACTTCAGCCAACAGCGTGTGCAGACCTGACGGATGCTGGTGCTATGGTTAAAATTCTCCCTTGAGGTTGCTCATGCGGATTTGAGGTTTGCTGCATGTCAGTGGTGGTTACCCATATGACTTTCAGCATGCTTTTGTTCACAGACGAGGTGGGGAATGTGGAGGCCACGCCTGTCTCCCAATCTTGGGGGATATCCTTCAATGAAGGCCAGTTGTATACAAGGACTATCTCTGGACCTCCAACCATCGTCCCATTTGGCACTGTGGAGTTTAAACTGCTGGCTCTGGAAGGCCGGGGCACCAGCGAACCTGTGGTATTGCTGGACACTGCGCTGGAGTGTAGTCTTGTGCGGGCTGATGACAGGTCCCCTGATTGGGCGACATGCTCCCCGGTGCAGACATATGATGCCTTGGAGGATGGTTCTTTCTTGTTTGAAGCCAGAACAGTGGATGCTAGTGGCCACTCAAGGGAATCTATCACGCAGGTTGTCTTTGATGTGGACAGTACGTCCCCGACAGTGACGATCGAACGACGGCCAGAAAGGTACCATGGGGCCAGCACTGTTTCATTCTTCTTCGATGCAGATGAAGAGGTGAAGGGATTCAACTGCTCACTCGCGGCTGTGGCAGAAAACCCAAGATTTGAAGTTTGTGGAGGACCTGACCGGGGTTCTGCAGAGTATGACATAGAAGATGGAGAGTATGCCTTTGTGGTGGAGGCTACTGACCTTGTTGGAAACAAGGGGCTGTCAGACCGAGCAGAATTCATGGTTGACACGGCAGCACCAGTTGTGGCAAGTAAGCTTGTGGATATGGCTTGATTCAACAGTGCTATAATTTGCCTCTGCACTTGACTTTGTCATTTTACTCATTGCTTCAAATTGTGTTGATGTAGAAAAGGCTGGGGTGATGCAGAACAAAATGTGCATCACAAGAGCGAACATGTCAGTTCTTCTGGCAGGTGGTGGAGAATCGAGCAGATTTCGATGAGGATGCCAGCATGGCTGTGTTCAAATGAACCCACTGAACATCTGTGTATTGGTTGGCTTATGCTTTGTTGTTGCTGCTTTTCAGTCGACTACAAGAATTCCACCAGCAGCAGCAACGTCTCCTTCTCATTTGAGGTGTCTGACAAAGGTTCTGGAGTGCTGCCTGCCAATGTTTCATGCTTGTTACGCAACAGTGGCGGACAAGTAGACTCTGAATGGCTGCAGAACTGCACAAGCCCTGCAACCTATACACTTGCTGAAGGAAAGTACGTTTTTAATGTTCGGGCAGTGGACAGAGCACGACTGCAGAATGAACTGAAGGTAAGCTCACAACACTCACCTCTTCAGGCCATCATCCAGAACACTTGAGATAGTTTTTAGCCTTATTGTTGGTGCTATGGTCCGATTTTAGCCGCAAAATAAGCTTGCACAGGTTAATTGAAATCTGGGTAGAGGAACTACTTCCTCTGTCCAAGATTAATTGTCGTCTATTTGCAAAAGAATTTCGCTATGAAAATAGCATCTAGTTTACAAAAGGAGGCCACAATCGCAGAGATGGGGTGTCACAACCATAAGATTCCGATTTTCAGGGAGAAAACAAGCCAACCCTCACACCTGTGAGCAGCCTCCGAAAATTGCATTGCCAGTCCAGAAAAAGCTCATTCAGATTCGTGGTCCCCAAAGACCCCTTTAATTCGGGGCTGCTCCGGTGCTTGCTAGTAGTAACACCAGTCGTTGCCACTGCTGTGGCGAAATGGGGCATCGAGCACATGACGCAGTTCTTACCAAACCTACTCGACTGAGCTTGGATTGTTCTCAGAGGTGGCCATTGTCACGGAACGACGATGCTAGTAATCTGCGATGTTCTCAATCTCCAATGCGCCGACCTTCACTGAGCCGTAAAGGCCCAGATCCAAGACCTTGAAGGCTGTTTTCAGTGCGGGCTATCTCTCCAGGGTTACTTTTGTGCCTTGCTTGGACAGTCTGCCTCGATTGCTGCTTGAATGGAAGCTTTCATGTGCCGCTCACCCAGAACTCACAAATAGCTCCTAGCTATCAATTCTTGCGCATGGTACGCAATCCATCGCAGCCAAGGGAGTCTCGCTTGCTTCAAGAGACACTACTTTACCATTGTGGCCATTCTCCTAGCCCTCATTCCTTTCAAATGTCAAAACAAGGTTAATTCGCAGTTGCCATCATAATTGTGAATGCACTACTTGTCCACGACTGATTGGGGTGATGGCCATCACCACGTCTCCCATCTTGGCACGAAGATTGGGAGGCCTCCCGCAGTTGCCCTGACGGCGGCGATGGAGGTTGCAAAGTCCTGGCCCAGAATTTTAGGCCCAGAATGTCGCTCCGATCTGCCGGATCGAACTTGATTTGTAGCCGTGAGCCACAGTGAGTTTGACGATCAGGGCGTTCAAAATGTGCTTTCTATCGCTGTAGCTCTTTGCAAGCACGGTGGTGAACTCCAGTCTGAACGGCGTAGATAGTCTTGCATGAGCGGCTTTGTTTTGCTGCCGCAAAGGCATGCTCCTCAAAACAGCGAAAATTACCGTTTTCGCCCCCGCGTCCAAAACCCACCGTTTTCTGGCCAGAGTACCCTTGCTACAATTTACTGCCAAACCCTGAATACTTAAATGGATTGACCTGAAATTTTGACAGTATACTCTGGATACAAAAGCACAACTTTGGCTGAAATTTCACTGAAAATTATTGTTGGTACGATGGAGAAGTAATGCCTCACAGTTGTAGACGACAATTAATCTTGGACGGAGGAATTATTTAGTTATTGAATGATTTCCAACACCTGCAGGGCCAGGTTTGAAGCCAAAATGTGCTGCCCCAAGTTGTTCATTCCGTTGCTGCATTTTGAGGTGCCCAAAGTTGCATGCTTTGCTATAATTCTTGCCGTTTTCAAGCACACGCGAACTGAGCAAACAGCTTCCACAATGGTGCTCCATTGCATAATTTCCCTTGGCAGGAAGGGAAAGACTCAGTGGTGTGAATTAACTTAGCAACGAGCAGATTCAGAAGTGTGACTTTGGTTGCTGGATCTTCAGTTAGGCTGCTAAAATGGCTCCTCCCACATTGGTGACCTGCAGTGCTGATATGTGATCCTGATGATGTGTCATGTAAAAGAGTGTGCTCTTGTGCCTTAGGACTATGTGGTCACTGTTGACCAGACGCCACCAGTGTCCAGCATTTCCAAGGGGCCTCCTGAGGGTCAAATTCTGCCAGCTCGGGTGTCTTTCACCTTCACAGCTGAGGATCAACCTGCAGAAATTGCATCTCAGGTGGCTTCTTCAGAATGCCACTTGAGTTTTGTGCAGCCTCTTGCTCCTGAACTTGACAAGGAGGATGGGTGGGTGGCGCATTGCAAAAGCATTTGAATATTGAGCTGCTGCTTAATGCGAAAGGAATCGCACAGCTTACAACCCATGAAGTGTTTCACGCGTACAGGCGCTCTGACCTGCATGGCTGCATGGGCTGCATGTCCTTTGGAGCATGTGTGTGTACACAGCCCTACTAATTTGTACACAGAGCAGGGAATCTGTTGTGTCTTGGATTATCACCAAATGGTACAGCTGGCTGGCATTGATATTGTCGATTCTCCAACTGTGGTCAAGAACCGCATTGTGCATAAGACAATGGACATGCGTTTTTCACTGGCCCCATTTAGGGTCTGTTTAGGTGCTTCTTTGCTCTTTTTGCTGCTTGCTAGCAGAGGCTCACAGATTCGTGACACACCCCATATTCAGATGGCCTGGTGATGCGAATGTGAAAGTTTGCAATTGTGTTGTGGAACAGTGGAGATGACAATGGACTCAACGTGGGTGGAAATGAGAACAACAAGCTCATGTCTACAAGTCAGCCAGCTGCGATCAAAGATGGAGACGTATCCATTTCAATTCTCGATGGGCCCACTTTTACTTTGGGGGCTTGGGTGGATTGCGGAAGTCCTGTGACGTTCCAGCTTATGCCCTCAGGGCAGTACGAATTCAGGACAAGGGCAACCGATCATGCAGGTATGTCTTCCCCTGATGCAAAGTTTGCATGGTTTCTTTGCGTTTGCAGTGCCAGCCGCTTATGCCAGTGATGTGATAACATTCTCTTCAGCTGAGCGATTCAACAGAGAAAATCTGCCGATTTTCAAAACACCGGAAGTCATATGTCTCCTTGTGGGAACTTTCTAATTCAAAAGCAGCAATGCAGTCCGTACTTGGGAGGATGTGCAACGTAACCTTTGTGGAGAGTGCCTTGATTGGGAGGCAGCTCTATTTGGGCTCGTTGCCGATCAACATAGTCTTGCTACTAGATGGCCTATTTCCGTGGCTGCCAATCTGCCTTAATCTCCAGATACGATAGCAAAGCTTTTGGACAGAACAGTGTTGGTGGAGACACGCGTGCCCTCTCCTTGCAGCGCAAGGGTAATGTTTTTTTGCATTTTGGGGAGCATAGTCAAATGGATATTATGTTCGTTAAGAGACGTTTTGTTTGAAGTTGTTCAATGCAGAGTCTCCGCATTTGGCACAGAAAAGCTGATCAACAGTTCTCTTTTGGTCATACCATGGCCAGGGGATGACCTGATGTCAAGCGTTTTAATCAATGTGATCCCGATTTTAAGGAATGCTCTTTTTGGTGGCGACTGTGCCCATGTGCCACTCACATTGCCCCCTGATTGCATGTTCTTTTTGCTGCAGGTGATGCTCTGTGATGTGTGCTTGCAAGTGACACTGGAAGAATTGCGTGCCACCTTGTTGTGTGTGAAACAGTTTAACAACATTCTTGCTCACGAAGGGGGCGCCCATTGCAGGTGTTTTTCCTTTCTGTTGAAACGAATCTTGCTATCCGTTGTTCAGGCAACAGGGGGAATGCGACAGAGGCATACTTGTTTGAAGTTGACGCAACGCTTCCCATCCCTGGAGAAGGAGGAGACTCCAGCTCCTCAACCCCGACTTGGATGTGGATTGTCATCATCGTGTCGGTAGCCGGTGCGCTGCTGATGGTGCTGATTGCTGTGGGGAGGTGCCGGAGGAAGGCGAGGCGGGCTCAGCAACAGCGGCCAGGATACCAGTACTACGCGAATGGCAGCAGTCCTGGCGGCGCCTATAGTGTGCCTAACGGAGCAATATCTGCAGCAATGGCTGTGAGTTTTGGACACTGTGCTCTTTCTGATAATCTTTGCCTGATGGTAGAAATTTGTAGTATTAGTGCCGCACATGGTTCGGAGTTTAGATTAAGGGCTCTGTCCATGCTCATATTTCTAATAAAAGACTTGAGCAATTCACGAATCCGTGAGCTTGGTGAACTCACGGGGCTTCATTGACTGTATCTGCCGGAAGGTTGCAAATCGTGCCCTTGTACCTAAGAGGTATGTTGGCCATGGTTGGTCAATTGTTAGTACAGTGGGTTGATGCAGGTTCGACTTGGCGGGACACTGTGTGGGAATGCGCCTTTACCATGCCTCCTATTCTGACATCACCTGTTAGGTGAATGGAAACTTTTAGGCATGCCTTTGACGATTGTAAGCGATGAGGGCTAGCGCCCCGAATTTTCATGTTTGACCTTGGACCTGACCGTTGGCATTCCTGCGACAGGCGTCCGTGCAACAACAGAGCATAGAAGAGCAGAACAGGGTTAGGGAAGAAAGGCGGCTTGCAGCCGCCCTGGCCGCCTCGAAAGAAGAGTATAATCTCCAACAGGCGCTGAAGCAGTCCCTACAGGAGCAGCAGGCCCCTAGTCCGCTCCCAGCGGCTGTTGCTGGCCGCGATGATGATCTCCAGAGGGCAATCGCCCTGTCACTGGCAGATTCCGCTTCAGCACCTCCCCAACCATGGCCATGAAAACGTGAGCTGTGATGAGAGTGTCACAATAGAGAGGGGCAGGGGCTGAGCCGGAATGGTGTCATTCAGCAATTTTTCCATTTCCAACACGGGATGCACATGGAACTGCCAGTGTGGGGTCCAAGGGGAGCAGCAGGGCGTCTGATACCAGATGTTCGTGCGTCGGCATTGCTAGTTTGTGTCTCTGAGCGCCGTAATTCATGTCAGAAGTAGGATTGCAGGCGTGGGTTTGGCGGTGATCAATGGTTGTTGCAGGCGTCGTGGTGCTCAATAGAATCAAGTGTACCAGACGTTGTGAACGAATACAGTGTACTATGTGGTGGGCTGTACTGAACGCTGTGACTGTGCACGCGCACGCTGGGCAAATTGCAATGCAATAAGTGGGTATGGGTTCCTGAAAACCACCTACCATTGTTTAGCGATGATCCCTGCTTATGCGGGCAACACTATTGGTCGTACATTGGGCCGACTCATCGGTGCGTCCATGGTAGCAACGGCACAGTGCTCTTCTGCTGCTGGAGCAGAGCCCTCGGAAGCCCTGCATGCAGGCCGACAAGTGTGGCTACCACGCCTTGATACCCGACGCTTCTTAATGATCGAACCAAGTGAGTCACGCGAAGATGGCAATTTGCCCAGTTGGGGCGGCCACATATATGTGCACGCACGGTTAATCAAATCCCGACATGTTGCCTTCCGCAGTCAACAATGAACACACGACAACAAGCTACGGAAAGGTCTCAAAGTCTACGTCTGCGTTAAGGGGGCCATGCGAGCCAACGAGGCACAACCTTTCAGCTTTTGAAAGCTCATTTGCATATGCGTCCCTTGATGAGCTGCACCACTTTGGTCTCGTCCACTCCAAGCGCCACTTGAACTCGTGGCCGTCCGCTCCATGCGTTGGGTCCAACCCAGTTGCAAAATCCGGCTGGAATGGGAAAATCACACACGGGCGTGTCAGTGCCTTTGAAACCATCGACATACAATTGGTGGCAACGGGAGGGGGCCATGAACAGCACCTCTTTGACAGTAAACAGCGTCTGTTCAATGCCAAGTATGCACACCACCACTGCCTGCGGTACTGCTGTAGCCGGTGAAACCTATCTAGGATGGGGCAAGAACTGCAAGAAATTGAATCATACGGACAACAATTTTTGCTGCCAAACATTAGATACCAGTCCAGAAGTCGGGCCTTCGGCCCCGACGTTCTGCACTTTTTCGTTCCTATGCTATCTATTCAAAGCCACTGACTCGCTGGCCAGGCTGGGCTGCGCTGTTGCGTTGTTCATGTTTTCCATTCCCTGTCGATTTGCTCATCACGTTCTTTGCTATGTCCTTTGCCACTGTCGCTGCGCTGAGGGCTGCAGAGCACTGCCGTGTGAGTTCGCTCCCGCTATGCTGCACGGGGAGTCCATGTCGGGGGCTGCAACTTCGACCATTGAGTTTTGGGACGCGAACCACCGCCGCTGCGGCCATCGGCCCTGGCCGCCGCAATGATGCGGCATCGCATCGGGAGACGGGCGTCGAGCGTAAGCGGGCACCGAGCACCGCAGCCACGATAGCGGTAGCCGCGCCCCTCCCGTCGGCCGCCCTTGAGCGTACCTCAAAAATTCCACGGAGCCGTCCCCCATCCTACCGCTTTCAGCGATTGAATTCTCCACCATCGCCAGCATGCATCGCTGGACTGTTGGCCTTGCCTTTCCCAAGGAATCTCCCCTTGGATGGGGCACTTGCTACACCCTTCCCGATTGTGACATTCCCTCCCAACTTCGACCGTTGGGACCCGAGCCATCGCCGCTGCGGCCATCGGCGCTGGCGATGGCCGTCAACGCCAGCGCGACGACGGGGAATCGTGTCCCACTATCGCAACGCCCAACTCCGCACCTCGAGAGCTGGCGCTGGCTTCGGCGAGGCCTCTACCGGGATCGCCCACCACCATCGCCGTCGCTTGCCATCGCCACGGACGTGATTCGCAAGCCATCGCCGCAGCCGCATGGCCCTCAATCGACCCAAAAGCGCTTTCGACACTCACGGCGCGTGATTGACACACACCGCGCGCTGTGATCGCGATGGCGGAGGTCCATGCCCCACCCCGTGCTCGCGCTCAAGCGCGCAACCCGACCCGGGTGGGAACCGCACACCCGCTCTCCGCTTTCCAAACTGTACTCCAGAGCCCGGGGGCCCGAACGCTTGGCCTTGAGGGGCGCACTGATTGCATCCGGTGCGGCGGTCTGTGCGCCGATGCCTGCCACAGCAGAGCGCTGGAAGGCCCTGGAGTACCTCCGCGGCCCGACTGGAGCCCTCGCGGGAACGGCAACGCTGAGCCGCGCGTTTGGGCGCGGGCCATCGCCGTTGTGACGATCGGCTCCAGCGATGGTCTCCATTGCCGCCGCGAGGACGCGGAATCGCGACCGGAAACGTGCGCGTCGAGCGCAAGGGCGCACGGCGCGCCACAGCCACGGCACCGGTAGCCGCGCGCCTGCCTCGGTCGCCCTCGAGCGCAGCCACCGGCGCCACCCAGGAACGCATATGCCCAGAGCATCCGACTAGGAGAGCCCCGCCACTCACGTAACCCCCATGTCACAGGGGTCGATTCTTACACAAGAACGCTGAGTCAGCCTTTAAAAAATTCATCTCCGGGGCGAAAATTCATTTCCGGGGCGCTCTTAGCCCCGTTGCCAGCTTATAATATTAGGCCCAAGAGGAACAGGCCTAAAGAATCGCATCACACATCGCTTTGCAAGAATGTACACATACACAACTATCCTAAGCACATTTCGCTGGTGCTGTCTTTTGGTGCCATAAGAGATGACTTGAACGTCGCTAATGCATTGCAAACAAATCTCTGTGTGCGTTAAAACAAACACGGAAACCGAACAGAGGTCGAAATGGATGACCTGAAAGCTGATGAGCAGGTGTGAAGATCCGAAATTGAATGAAGCTCACCATCCATTATCGTCATGCCTCTTGTGATGCCCTCAGTCGACACCCGCACACTCCCTTCTGTCCATTTGAAGAACTCTGGGGCGATAACCGCCACAAACGCAGTGGGGTCATGCAGACACATACCGTTGATCCCATAGTGCTTTGCATAGAAAGCGTGATAGGTTTGTGATATGGCATGCAAGAACCGTCCATGTGGGCTCCCATCATCCAGGGCATCCAAATCGGCTGCCGTCAGCTGGCACCCCACTGTGACGTCCAGTCCCACCACTTTGATATGGTTGCCTAGTGCAAAGACATAATCTGCTGCCTCTGGGTCGCCCAAGGTGTTGGCCTCAGCGGCTGGGTTAACGTTCCCATTCCGAAAGAATGCCCCACCCAAATAGACAAGTTCGGCCTGGCAGGAAGCATAACACAGAAGTGCATTCACAATGTTGCTGCATGGTTGCACATCAACTGCATGTGTCCGGTGATCATCGTGCATTGCAGTCACTTGAGAACTCAACAAGTGAAAATCAGCATCAGAATTTCGAATAGCTGAGAGCTACTGAAAGACACCAAACGATTTGCTGTGCAGCTCAATTTGGGGGTATGCCTGTGGCAGGGCACCTGTTTTGCAGGACTGTGGTTGGACAGGGAATCGCACAGGCAACTCGCATCCAGGTATTGGAGAGCAGCAGGCACGCAGGATGAATTTGTCCTTCTGCCATCGAATGGACAGCCCTGTTGCGGCCATCTGGTGTTCCTCTGGGAGGACATGGACAGCGACGATCAACAAGTGGATCAACAATGTGGTGTGTCAATTTGTGTCGTGTGCCTTCGAAATAGTTAGCTCACTCTGCACAGTATTCCATTACTGGGCCCTGTTCATTGGGAACAAAGCAAAACGCAAAATTGCGTCCTAATTGCTAGAGAGAAGCCTCTTCGTGAAAACAGAGCATCAAAAGGACAAGTGCACACTTGGGAAACGCTGCATTAGGAACACAAGCCGCTTGACAGAACAACACCACCACATGTGCCCCATTGGGCTGGCATCCTGCATTGTGGCCAAACCTAATGAGTGTGAAGGTCAGATACCAGTTCATCCACACTTTTCAAAGTCAACCAGTGCCAAACACAGGGCAGTGAAAGAATCGCTTTCTGTTTTGTCAGCAATGAGGCAAAACAGTAGTAAAAAGCATATCGGATTCCCACAAAGGTGTGATTGGCTCTGAGGTGCTCACCCACCCACTTGCTTCCAATCGTTTCATCCAAAGACAGCGCCAAGGCCACATTAGTCAAACTCGCCAATGCCAGAATAGTGATCCTCCCAGGAAATTGGTTGACCTTCTGTTGTATGAATTCAGCAGCAGACATGGCTTCCTCTTTGCTGCCCTGTCTCAACAGCATTGGTGGATCGGCGTCAATGCTGAGGCACGTTGATCTGGCAAGAGCAGATGCCTGAGAGAATGCCCAGCTCCAGATGTGTTCAGCATACAAAACAGGGGCTTGTAAAACACAAACATCGTTCAGTCGGGCCCCTGTGCACGATGAAAACCCAGAGCCCGCAGCCCGCAGCCCATTTGGCAAACCCCCATATGCACGGCAGCAACAAACAGCAGAGAACTCACAGTTGATCAAGCTGTTGGAGTGTGATTACTTTAGGTCGGGGCTGGTGAGTGTTTCCAAATCCATCCTGGCCGTGCACAAAGTCAGCCACACGCTTGTTTGGAACACCTGCAAAGGTTGAGCTCGATCCCTCGATGACAGGTACCTGCGACCATGAAGCAGGCTTTGGCAGTTAGGGAGCACTCAGTGCGAGTGCGGAGTTGGAGCACTGCTCAACCTGCTGCAAGGAAGGGCTGTAAAGGGAGGCAAATTACCCTCAACACGCACATCTTCCCTTCCCGCCAACTCCCGCAGTCTGAGGGCGTTCTCCGTGGCAAGGGATGTTTTGACGTTGCCGAACAGGGTCGTCAAGCCAATGACATCCACCTCCGGCGAGTTGAAGGCAGCAAAGATCGCCATGGCATCGTCTTCACACGCACCACCAGACTGTCAGTGGGGACCTTTGCAAGAGTTCGCACCGGACTTCGCTTGTCAAGGCACATGCCCTGCGTGAGGTTCCTCTCTTTATGCCACTTGGGGGCACCTCCACATCCATGACAACGCAAGGGGTTGTACGCACCCAGCAACTCAGACAGAATAACAGTAAGCCAAACTGGCAAACCACACAGATCGGTGACGATCACTGAGCAGAGTTCCCTCCAGTGCTCTCTTCAGGCACAGATTTGTAGGAAAGAAGAGCAAATTTGCCATGCGTTACTGAATCCAGTGAATGTTGCAAAGCCAGAGGGAAAATGAGAGCCTTGACACAACCCAAGCAGCAAACAACGTTTTCGGGAATCCAGGCAAGCGGAAGCGAAAGGAAAACGGTAGAGGGGGCGCCAGGCTGCGTACCAACGCCAGGGTCAGTGTCAATGATCAGAAGCTTCTTTGTCGCGTCGCCCATGCTCGTTGACGCCGTGGTTCCGTTCGCACCGAGCCAGACAGACCTTTCAGTGTCTTCTCGAAGGTCGCAGGAACGCATGAGTATTCAAAGCTGATGTGGCTTTTGAGGTGGGCGAATGTCTGCGGCTGGGCGGGCACAATGCGGACGAGTTTCTGTTGACATCTATTGACGACCACGGACTTGTACAACAGCCTAAAGAGGCGTAGCAATGGTGTCACAGCGCAACCCACAGAACGAGTGTCCTGCCGCAAGTGCTCGAGCCCGCCGCTCGGTGCAGAGAACAAGGCGGCCCCATGCAGAGTGTTGTGTGGTATGTCTTGACGCCGTCAACACGATATGGAAACCGGTTTCCAAACGGCCGCGTAATTTTCACTTGTCGAGTGCATTGAGTGGCGTGCTTTGGCCACCAGCTACCACTACCCCTGCTTGGACGGCATCTTCTCCGCCCTGGCTGCCTATCTGCATCACAGGGAAGTTGGGAGGCGAGTCAGGTTCTTCCCCATGAAGGTGTACGCCCCTCCTGAGGGCCCCGAGGCGCTGCGACTGAGAGGGCACGAACACGTATTCCTGCTGGATTACGCGGGACCCAGGCACGCCGGGATGGACGGATTGTGATGAAGTGCTTTTCTTGAGCAGACAAATAGGAAGCGGCTTGCCTTCAAGGACCTTCGCTGGGCACAGTTCGGCTATTCATGGAAGAGTACTGGCACTAGTGATGTTCAATCTTGGAATCTATCTCCAGCGCCTTTGCCCTTCTGTTTCGTCAGCCTGCTGATCCTGTAGTTCTTGGTCAGAAGCCTGCTTGTTTCAGTCGCGGGATTATGATCTTGATCTGCTTGAAGGTGGGAGCGCAGTGCTTGGTGATGTTGCTTGGCAAGCTTAGAATAGCTTACTGAATTACCATTTCTTATTCCAGAAAGATCTCATCCTTGTCTTTCACGTTGCTCTTGGCTCTTTCTTGTGATTATGTGCAGATGATGCAATCCACGTGCCTTGCTGGCGAATAGGCCACTTGTCTCCAGTCGGACATCTCTGACATGTGTGGTGTCCAACCAACCAAACCAACGTGAAACTACCTGCTCCAATTACTTGTCTCTGTTGTGTTATTTTGCAGGGGTTTTGCAGTTGAAGTTGCAAAAGTAGCCAAGAGGGTGACTGTGCTCGATCACCACAAAACTGCTGCTGAGTCGCTGCCCGATGTTGAAGGGCGTCCTTCCAACCTGGAGGTGGTTTTGGACATCTCTAGAAGTGCAGCCACAATTGCATTGGACTACTTTCGGCCTCAGAAGATAGACAGAAAACTTTGGTATGTGTGTACTCCAGAGGACTGGAGTAGTTACTGTGGCTTGCTTCATACTTGCAGTGGTCTCATGCTTATTGCCAAGTCTCTTTGTTAGCTTCTAATAGAAACATGACTGGAAATGTCACTTTAGAGCGAAACAATATTCCTCTGCTTGAAAGTTATATCTCCTGGTTGAGTCGCTGCTGTCACTGACTCCAATCACATCAAAAACAAAAGCTAGGCCCTGTGGTTGCACACACCATAGACTTGCAGCTCGCAACTGTTGTGAATGCCAGCACCAGGAGAATGGTTCACGTTGTATGGCCACAACCCACAATTGTGGTCATGACTTCATGTTGTGCTCTGTATAGTGTGCTTTCCTGTTGCTAGAATTTCCTGAATTGCATTTGTCAATTGCGCCACAAACCAAGGTCATTCACCTTTTCAAGCTATGACAGGTGCACCAGTGCCCATTCGGTGCTTTCATGTTGTTCTCATGCAAATGTGCTTCAAGTCTACCTTTCAAAATGATTTCAAAGAGCTTCTTACCCAGGAGGTGTGCTCACTATAATGCACTCACTGTACCTCACAGGGAAATGTTTCGCTTTGTTGAGGATGCAGACCTCTGGCGGTGGCGGTTTGCAGACAGCAAGGCATTCAGGTCGGGTGTGGCAGCCCAAAAGATTAAATTCGATGTTAACGAGAACCCCAGAATATTCGACCAGTTGCTGCAGCTGGATCCTTGCCAAGTCATCCAGGTGGGGCGCACCAGATTGGAGGACGAGCAAAAGATAATGGACACTGTGCTGAAGGAGTCCTTCGAGGTTGCCATCGGTGGCCATGTCGGCTTGGCAAATGGCTGGGGGTCGTGCCTCGCAGTCAGAGCTGACGATGTCAGGCAACTTCGCAGTGAGCTAGGAAACAGGCTGGCAGACATATCGCAGTCACGTGGGTTAAGGGCGATGGGGCTGGTGGCTTATTTTGAGCCAGACTTGCAGGACCACAGCAAAATAAAGTGCAGCTTCCGAAGCTCAGGGGATGAGGACACGACAGTCATCACCAGGGCGTTCGACGGTGGTGGCCACGCCAACGCCAGCTCTTGCATGGTGGATTTCGAACAGTTTCAGTCTTGGAGAGTCTGATGTTGTTGTGAGTGTCATATACGAATGCTGAATGAAAGTTTGGTGGATACTGAGATTGCTGAGCAAATACTGCTGCTCGTGGGTCCGTGCCAGTTGTGGGGCAGGCCTGATGTGTGGCGAGGGCCAGAGAGAATTGAAACCGATGTCATATGGCCATCACTGCAGTGCACTGCAGTGATGGTACTGCACTGCAGTGCATTGTCAAGGAAATGTCGTCATGCCAGACCGACCCAACCACAAGACTGGATAAAGATCTGGATGAGTGTAACTGTGGCTGTTGGGACAGCACCTTGTAAACACACATATTCTGCGATCTCTGAACAGGGTTTGGGAGAAGCTTGTTCCGTTTCCATATCCAAGTTTGTGGATCATCTGTGCACAAATTTGCCTTACCCAGTTGTTAGTTGTCCGCACGCAACAATCCTTCTGTGAGTATGTCTTGTGCGATGCCATCTAGCCATTCCCTGCCTCCCTGGAGGTTCTCTTCAAGTGTCACTCCCAAGCCTTGTTGAGCCCAGTTGATATCTCAGAGTGCTTTCATTTCTTATTTTCCACTTCCTCAATACAGTGGTGGCTTACTTGGGCCATCCAACGCAGTGCATATCGTGCATATGGTTGCACGATAGTCAATGGATCACCAACCAAGTGATTCACCCAATGAAATATGATTATTAGGTGCCACCATGAACTATCCACTAAATTGGCCAAATTGCGACAGTTTCTTCAAGGACGTATTCATCAAACAAGCATCCCTTGCCTATCATATGTCCTAACTTTCTAAACACTGTGCAAGGCCTTCGGCAGCATTCTGCACCCAAACTAGTACAAGTCTGTTTTATGCTGTTGCATCGCCTTCCATGCTGAAAATTGCTGTGATTTTCTCAAACTCTTGCACACCTAACGGTAATAATACTGCCTACATGCAGGTTGCACCAGAAATCTGAAACTTCAGATACCATCCACCAGAACATGAGCTTGTCACGTTTTCATCCATCAGCCATGCGCGATTGTCCACCATATATTAAATGTACTCTCTCGCCTTGAACAATAATTTAAATGCGTGGCCATGTCGAGTCCTGACTGGTCTATGGAATTGTGTCACCAAAGCAACCACTATGTGTCAGTCACGTGTCACTTATTGAATGATGTAACAACAGAATATTGGCACAATTAACATTCAACAGAAAGTCAATGGAGCACACTTCTCCATTTCTCAAGATCACAAGTTTGAAGACTATAACATCATGGCTTCTGGTCATGATTAGCGATGATGTCATATGATTGAACCCTGGGAACAAAAACATGTACTGCACTATATTGTACAACATTATTCTGAATCCTATGCTCCAAAACGAACTGGCTGCCCCCTTGGGCAGATGTCAGACATGCACTATCGTGTGGTTTCGCTGTTCGCGCTCCTCGCTCGCGCTCACACACGGTCGCTCCCAGGCAAGGGAAGCAAGCCGTAACCAGACAGATTACAGAATGGTTCTGTCTGTCATGTAGCATTCACTGCAAGCATATTCAATTCGTGTCTCTTCCCCTTCATTCTCCATGTCGCCACAATAAACACCGTATTCGCTTGACCACACCCTCTTAACTATGTATACACCTTTTTCTTGTCCTCACATGCACAATGGGCAGTGTTGCATCCAAAGCACACATGTCCACTGCTGTAGTGGCAGTAGCCGTTGTCTCTGGATGGAGCACCATCATTGGTGCTGTTAATTGGATCAGGGCACATTTGTGATTGTTGGCACCAAATACAAGACCATGAAAACCTGCCCAAAAACCCTATTGTAATAGGAAACAGCAACCCCAAAATCTCATCATCCTCACTTTGCTTGTTATTCAGATACAGAACAAGCTGAGTTCAGTAGGTCTCAATTGCCTGCAATCTGGAAGGGCTTGATCCACTGAATCCATGGACAAGTGCATCAACTGCATCTTGTTAAGACACATTTTGTGCTACAAGATGCATCATACACATCAGGTGACATTGTTCGCACCACTTAGCCCATCTTTTCTTGGGAGAGGCCCTGAGCCTCCATAAGGTGGACCTGTTGACATTGCCAATAATCCGCACACACATGTTGCCAAGGTGCTAATATGCAAATGTAAGGATTGTAAGGACAATGAGGCTCCTTGAACCGCACAGTGGCCAATGTATTTGAAATTGTGCTGTGTTCAAGCAGCAACAGTTAGCAACACAGCGCAAACACAAAGCCTGCTAACTGAACTATCCACAGCACAGGTGCCCATTGGAGGATTCAGATTAGCGAGATGTAGAGACTGTCTGCAGTGCGAGTTGCTCGCAATCTGTCTGACGTGTACATCATCACGATCCCCCATCTGCGGCTGAAGTCCTACAACTGTGTCGGGCAGGGACTCAGGTTGTTCGTCTCAATCATCAAATTTCAGTTGGCACGAACAAACATTCGTCACAGGCCTGGCACCGACACTGGTACCGGTACTGGCCAGCCAAGAGCATTCATATGTCTACCCTCAAGTCCAAGTGCCCATTGTTTGGTATATGTCCTTTATAAGACTAAGAAGAAACTCCAAAAGACTGGACTCATCCTGTGAGAAGAAGTTTGAGTCCAAAAGATGAACACAAGGGAAAGCGCATATGCGATGTCCCCAACCAAAGCAACCGTGCAAACACCTCTCCAGTGGCTGCAGAGGGCAGAAGGGCTGCTGCTATTGCACTGCTTCTTCAACGCAGGCCATGCGGGCCAGCTTTGCTTCTTTGAGTGCGAAGTGAGCACCACAATCACGCCCCATCTGAAACCACTTCCCTGGGCCCCGGCTGTGTGCCACCGCTGCAAAGCGACGGGATCGATCTTATGTACCAGGTGGCGGCATAGATCACTCGAGGTGGTGGAAGGTAAGTGCCCCCCACTTCGAGACACTTCCCGCTCCTTCGGTGATCTCAGGTGAATCTTCGACGCTGCCGCCCGCCACTTTCAGCACTCTTCCCTGGTCGTGGCGACTGTAGTACCCGGTTTTGCGTGGCGCGAGAAAAGATGTTTCCTTGTGGGGTGTGGCGGCTGATGGTTTGGCATCCGCTCGAAGGGCAAACACATTCTTGTGCGGCGCACCAAACCGCTGATGCTGTGAATAGAACTGATTGAGTATTATTACCAACTGAATGCATAAAGAGATGATGCACTAGTAATTGCATTGAGGGCGTTGATGAACGGACTGAATACAAAGGACAGAACTCCTGTTGTCCCTTCGCCTCGGCTGTAAACCGTTGATACGACAGTGACTGGTCCATCATTGAGAGATGGTTGTATGACTATAAAGGGACATGCCTGTCCGCAACATATCTATAATTCTGTACCCTCAGTTGCATTCCCAAGCCCGTGGCCGTGCCTGCCTCCGATATAGTCCCACTCCGAACCTAGCGTAGCACCGTTGCCATGGACTCGAGCGTACCATCACCGTTCAGAGATCACCAACCCTTTTGATCCTGCCCGCCTTTGTCAGTGCCACCTGCTCGTTCCGCACAAATGCTCATTAGTTTGGTCTGCACACCACTGAGCGACATTCTTAACATGATCAACGGAAATTAATGGGCGCGGGCGTGCCAGACTCGCGATTGATGGAATAAAGTGCGCAGCACAGCGATCGCGGTTGTCGCTCCTCGCGTCAGGTGTTGCGGACCATAACCTAGCGTGGCCGCTGCCGCCAGCCCGCCGCGGAAGCAAGCGCAAAGGATGGTAAGCATGGCGGCGGGGAGAGCAGGCCGCGATAGCAGGAAGCGGAGAGATTTTTCACGGCACTGGCCACCGCGTCTCGACACCCCGGGGCTGTATCGGGCGCCTCGCGGGATTTTTCCCCTTCCATGTTAGGTCACCGCCGCAGCGCCGGCGTTGCCCGCTTTTCCGCTGCTGCGCTCGCGACTCGCCGCGCGTTTCGCTTTCCTCGCTCAAGGCTGGGCTGCCGTTGTCGGGCAGAGCTTTTGCCTGTGTTCCTCCGTTCTTCGCTGTTCCACTTCGGGCGAGTGGCGATGCTTTCGCCTGATGCGCCATCAAGGCCTGATCGACCTCGTCAACTCCTGTTGGTGGCTGTCGGTCGCGGCTCTATGTTCGGACGGTCGATGGCTGCCCCGCCTTTGCTTCACAAGGCACCCCTACGGGTTCGCTCCCCTCAGCCTATCACGCCGGGCGCGGGCGGCTTCGGCCGCTTTACATACACTGGTCCGCCCGCCCCCAATACAGCCATCCATACCCCAGCCCTTGGCGCACCCGCTCATCGCGGGCTCGACCGCCCTGCACGCACTGCGCTCTGATGGCTCGCTGTTACGCGCACCGGCCTGATGTGGGGGACGCCTACTAATGGTCCTTGGTGCGGGGGACGCCCTGCCCAAGATCGTGTAGTATTCCTTGTCCCACGGTAACCATTATACTTATATGGATATGGGAGTAGGAGGGGTGGTCCTGCCTAGGTGCCCTGTAAGGACCTAGGTGCCTGGCGAGGTGGGTCCGCGGCTCAAAGAGGGCAGGAACCCCACACCCACACACTTTTCGTATCATTTGGTTTCGGAGCCACTTGAGGGTGGCGACCACGCTTCCGCCTGGGCGGACGCGCAAGCTCGGAGCGACGGGTTCCCTCCCCGGTCTCCTCAATGGAGGCCAAGGAATCGGACACGTCTGCCCGTAAGGGTACCCCCAATGCGTCGGGAGAGATGGGAACACCCCGGGAGGGGACACCGACCTCGGTTGGTGATATTAAAGCCCGGGATGGGCAAGGAGGAGAATAAGTCCGGGAGGACAAGGCTGGACCCTCCACAGCCACTTCGGCACCCGTAAGGGAAGATGAACCGATGAGCGAAGCGGGTGCCCCACCGACGGCAGAGAAGAAACAAGAGCAAGATCAGGGGACCATGGCAGCGTTGCTGCAGACCCCTGGTATCATGGAGCTCTTGGAGCAAGTGGCGGATGCTGCGGCCCAGAAGGCGAGGGCGAAGCGGGATGAAGAGACCGCTGAGAGAATCGCCTTGCTGGAGATCGCCATCAACAAGGCCAAGAAAGAAGCTCGAGAAAAAGAGGTGGCCATGAAGAAGGCGAAGCAGCAGAGCCGCGAGGCAGAAGAAGCCAAGACCTCCGCCGAAGACCACGTCAAGGCGTTGAGCGACCGTCTCCTGAAGCAGAAGCAGCGGGCACAGGAGGCAGAGGAGAAAAGCGCCCAACAAGTGGCGCCGGCCGTGAGGGCCCCCAGTCCGTCGAAGCTGCCCATGCCAACCATTTCAGAGGAAGACTGGAAGGTTGCTGGCAAGCAGCGCCCCAAGCGGAAAAGCCCATCGCCAGGTGAGCGACCGATGGGAAGTCGGACATCTCCATACAAAGGCCGGGAGGCCAAAGCCTCAGGGCGCATTGAGAAAGTAAAAGGCCGGAAGGTCAAGATCCCGGAGCTGCGGCTCAAAT